CACTCTAGCTCTGTCACCTTTCACCGCAGTGCGATATAGGCGGATGCGATGGATTGACATGCATCCAATTATGCTAATTAGATTTCCGCGGGGGCAAGGACATCAACCTTAGGGGTTTTTAAAGATCAGGTTGGGGGCTGCCCTGATAGGTCAATCTACTTTTTCTTGTAAATAGTTTGTTAATGATTTGTGTATTTTCCAGAAGCTTGCTCGGTTGTCGTGTTAAAGAGAGATCAGGGAAGAATTTTTCAGTTGATCCTATATTGGCTCAATTTGGTTGCTGTTTTCTGCTTCCCTCTGGAAAATTGTTTCTTTAGATAAATACTGATTAATTGCAATTTGTCATTATTGGGTATCTTAAATCCTGTCACAAAGTAGGCTGAGAACCCATTTCATGGACCCAAGATCTATAGGTAATGCTGTACATTGCAATATGAATGTTCAATATCCCTATAGTAGGTTGACTGGTGAGCTTAATGTGGTTAATTTCAGACCGGTTTCAAAGTCCCGCAATAAGTGCTACGACACTAATATTTGTGTAAACTCTTCAGAATTGTAATCTGTTGGTGTCACTGAGTAGGCTGATACCCCAATTCATGGACCCACAATCCATAGGTAAGGCTGTACAGTACACGTAAGTATGCCCCCAATGCAATTATAAAGTCTAATACATCCACAGTGCGATTTCAACAGATTTTTTCAAATTATTGTATTTTGTTGAATTTATATAACAACATTCCGACCTTGTTTAGCATGATCTAGTCCAAATATGGCATGATTCCACTAGTTGTATCTGTTTGAATCATTTTCAAAGGGGGACATTTATTTTGAAGGCAAACTGCAAATTCCACTAATGTGACTAATCCTTATTGTAGCTAGCTTCACACAGGTCAGTCTACCTACTACAAAAACACTGTACACAGTATTACCTAAACCAGTTCAGTTAAGAATAAGAAAACTAATAATAATACATGTAAATAGCTATATCTTAAATTATTGCAAAATGTGACTGGGCTTGTTGGAAATGAACTTGTCATGTCTATTCTAGTTTGATATGTTGCTGTCACAACAAGTTATTAAATCTGATTATCGCAAACCTCACCGCTCAGGCAGTCGATCAGAGAAGGGGTGACAGGAGAATGCATCCACATCGGTCTCTGGATTAATGACATAGCACTGTAAGACAAATGCAATGGAGGGCCTCCTGTAGCTCAGTTGGTAGAGCATGGCACTTGCAACACCAGGGTTGTGGGTTCGATTCACACTGGGGGCCAGTATGAAAAATGTATGCACTCACTAACTGTAAGTCGCTCTGGATAAGGGTGTCTGCTAAATGACTTAAATGTAAAATGAAGGGTATTTTGCAGCCTGGTCTCATGGACTAGACGTAACATAGTAATAAAAAATCCGGGACACTCAAATTAGTATGATATGTTATGTTTGGTATGGTACATAAGACAAAAGGTTACTTAAGGCAAAAACAAAAGTATGGTGATTGGTAGGGGTGGATAGGTAGGCGTATAACGCGATCGTCTAGCAACACAAAGGTTGCGTGTTTGAATCTCATCACGGACTTTATCATTTGAGCTAATTAGCAATTTTGCAACTACTTACTACTTTTTAGCTACTTTGTAACTACTTAGCATGTTAGCCAACCCTTCCCCTAACCCTAACCTTAACTATTTAACGTAACTCCTAACCCTAACTTAGCTAACGTTAGCCACCTTGCTAACATTAGCCACAATCATGTGTGATAGCTGGGTGAACCACATATCGTATCACAGTCGTATCAAGTATATTTTCCCTCAATTAAGTAGTTATCAGCAAAGTCAGTTATTTTGGTTCATCTGCCTTTGTAGTTACCTGTAGACTCTGTGATTAACATTGCATTGGCTGTGATGGTGATAATATAGTATTTGGGAATAGGTTACACCTGCAGTTTTATTTTGGCATAAACAGGATTGATTGCAATTATCCAATAGCTATTTTGTATTTCAAATATTTTGTTACAATTTTATTGTTTTGTATTAGAAGTTATCCAAACAAACAATATCTTCAACAATTTCTGGTTGATTGGTATTCTATGTTCAGTGTTGGAAACTTCTTTCCAGGGGTTTTATGTAACACTTGAGCCAATTTGCTCTGAGGTAAACAGCAAGCTTAAGAACTGGGACACTCAACTCGGCTAACTCCCATTATGTCTATAGCATTGTCCATTGAGAAATCACAGACAGATTAGAAGGTTGTTCCACAACCACTGCTCCTCCTTCCCTTCCAGTGGTTTTCCTAACAATCTCCTGTCTCCATTAGATCTAACAGTTTCCTGGCCGTAACTCCTAGTATGTGTCCCAAATTGTACCATATTCTCTATATAGTGCACTACTTTTAACCAGAGCCCATAGGTGTTTGGTCAAAAGTAGTGCACTATGTAGGGAATAGGGTGCCATTTGGGACACAACCCTAATGTCCCCATGACTCGTAATGTCCAATCACTTACCTTTTTCCCCTGTTGCTTTGGCCCAGGGGTGAAGTTTATCAATGTAAACACTGATTGCTACCCTCAGAATAACCTTAACGAGGCTAAATACGGCCAGGGTTTATCCTCAAGGCTGGAGTAATCCTGTAGTCTTTGGCTCAGCAGTGAAAGTCCCGACCTGAGACACAAAGGGGTTTTCTCACTTAAACATCAGCAGGACAGACCATGCAGCTTATCCACACTGACAGGCAATGTAGGATCCTCAAGCTGTATGTAAGTAAAATGACCATAATATGAATATGCTTCCTTTATGTAATTTGCTATGTTGAATGAATTTGCTGCTGAAAATCTGATTTGTGTAGGTGTGAACGTTTTAGTGGTGGATTTGGGAGGGATTAGCAGTTAGTGCTGTTTGTGTTGACAGGAATCGGTAGGCAGTTGTCATCTATGATGCGTTTAGACTTATTATTTCCAATAAAAGTCATAGTCATTTTGTTTTGTATTGTACATGTAGAAATGTACAAGCCAATTACAGTTAATTCAAATAACCACCGTTTTTTTTCTGACTTACCCTGTTAAATAATAAGCTATTTCTAGTTCATGTGCATGCCTTAATTCTACAAAATTGCATTTGGAAAATATTTTCAATATTCAAAGTTGGAAAGCCAGGTTAGTGTAGTCTCCCATATCAGGGAGATGTTACAGTTGAATGTTGGTTAAGTAAGTAAGCCTTGTCTGAGGGCAGAATCTCTACAGCAGAATCTCCTGTTTCTGTAGCATGAAGCAGCTTGATGAGGGAAAAAAGTATTTGATCCCCTGCTGATTTTGTATGTTTGCCCACTGACAAAGACATGATCAGTCTATAATTTTAATGGTAGGTTTATTTCAACAGTGAGAGACAGAATAACAACAACAAAAATCCAGAAAAACGCATGTCAAAAATGTTATAAATTGATTTGCATTTTAATGAGGGAAATAAGTATTTGACCCCTCTGCAAAACATGACTTAGTACTTGGTGGCAAAACTCTTGTTGGCAATCACAGAGGTCAGACGTTTCTTGTAGTTGGCCACCAGGTTTGCACACATCTCAGGAGGGATTTTGTTCCACTCCTCTTTGCAGATCTTCTCCAAGTCATTAAGGTTTCGAGGCTGACGTTTGGCAACTCGAACCTTCAGCTCCCACCACAGATTTTCTATGGGATTAAGGTCTGGAGACTGGCTAGGCCACTCCAGGACCTTAATGTGCTTCTTCTTGAGCCACTCCTTTGTTGCCTTGGCCGTGTGTTTTGGGTCATTGTCATGCTGGAATACCCATCCACGACCCATTTTCAATGCCCTGGCTGAGGGAAGGAGGTTCTCATTCAAGATTTGACGGTACATGGCCCCGTCCATCGTCCCTTTGATGCAGTGAAGTTGTCCTGTCCCCTTAGCAGAAAAACACCCACAAAGCATAATGTTTCCACCTCCATGTTTGACGGTGGGGATGGTGATCTTGGGGTCATAGGCAGCATTCCTCCTCCTCCAAACACGCGAGTTGAGTTGATGCCAAAGAGCTCGATTTTGGTCTCATCTGACCACAACACTTTCACCCAGTTCTCCTCTGAATCTTTCAGATGTTAATTGGCAAACTTCAGACGGCCCTGTATATGTGCTTTCTTGAGCAGGGAGACCTTGCGGGCGCTGCAGGATTTCAGTCCTTCACGGCGTAGTGTGTTACCAATTGTCTTCTTGGTGACTATGGTCCCAGCTGCCTTGAGATCATTGACAAGATCCTCCTGTGTAGTTCTGGGCTGATTCCTCACCGTTCTCATGATCATTGCAACTCCACGAGGTGAGATCTTGCATGGAGCCCCAGGCCGAGGGAGATTGACAGTTATTTTGTGTTTCTTCCATTTGCGAATAATCACACCAACTGTTGTCACCTTCTCACCAAGCTGCTTGGCGATGGTCTTGTAGCCCATTCCAGCCTTGTGTAGGTCTACAATCTTGTCCCTGACATCCTTGGAGAGCTCTTTGGTCTTGGCCATGGTGGAGAGTTTGTAATCTGATTGATTGATTGCTTCTGTGGACAGGTGTCTTTTATACAGGTAACAAGCTGAGATTAGGAGCGCTCCCTTTAAGAGTGTGCTCCTAATCTCAGCTCGTTACCTGTATAAAAGACACCTGGGAGCCAGAAATCTTTCTGATTGAAAGGGGGTCAAATACTTATTTCCCTCATTAAAATGCAAATCAATTTATAACATTTTTTACATGTGTTTTTCTGGATTTTTTTGTTGTTATTCTGTCTCTCACTGTTCAAATAAACCTACCATTAAAATTATAGACTGATCATTTCTTTGTCAGTGGGCAAACTTACAAAATCAGCAGGGGATCAAATACTTTTTTCCCTCACTGTACAAGTACAGAACGCTAGTAACAATTTAATGTTAATTATCTAATTAGCTGGCCCCTGTGACTTCTCTGACCTTTCTCTGTGATTGAACCGGGACTGGGACAGGGACAGGGACAGGGACAGGGACAGCCATGAGTGAAGACACTGATGGATTGGCAGAGCTGGACTCTGAGCACAATGCAGAGCTGGCTGACATGGTGGCCGCCATGAGCGTGGCATCCAACCGGATGACCCCTCCCAACGGCCACCGAAGGCCCCCTGCACCAGCGCGCCGGAAACTGTCATTGTCAGACAGGAAGCTATCATTGCAGGAGCGATCGACCCAGCCGCGAGAGGCCCGACAGCCCACCATCGAGTCCAAGCGGGTGTCCATCTCAGATTCCCAGGTCAGAGGTCAAGGCTGTGTCCCAAATGGAGGCCAGGGCTGTGTCCCAAATGGCACCCTCTTCCTTATATAGTGTACTACTTTTGACAAGGGCCCATGGGGAATAGGGTGCCATTCAGGATGCAGAATATGGGGGAAGAAATAGGCATGAGCCTAAATAATGTGTAGTCAATGTGCAATATCCCACCACCAAATACCCTTCACTTTGTTTCTCCCTAGGATTGTATCCAGCTCAACCAATACAAGCTGAAGGATGAGATTGGAAAGGTAAGAAAATAAAAGTTTGAATACTCAGTCTGGTACAAAACCATATATCAAAACTAGATGCTGAATTTGTCTGACAAGAGAAAACATTATTTCGTAAAGCATTCTTGTGTAATAAGTAAAAAACGATTCTGTCAGACTTTCTTCTTTTTCTCTTCTAGGGCTCATATGGGGTGGTGAGATTAGCTTACAATGAAGATGATGAACAATACTATGTAAGCATCTCTTAAACTCTGCACATTCCATTCTTTATCATCTCCTTTGTGGGAGCAGAGAAATGTACAGTTCCTCAACTCTTTGTTTTGGCCTTATTGACTCTTATACCATAGGAGCAAACTGATCATGTCTTTCCTTTCATAGGCAATGAAAGTTTTTTCAAAAAAGAAGCTGATGAAGATGTGTGGATTCCCTCGTAGGTTACATTTTTCCTTTTAAGTCTTTAGTATGAGTTCTTGTACCGGTATGAACATGAACTGGTGATGATCACAACTGTACAGTATATAATGTATTGCCTAAACCAGTTCAGTTAAGAATAAGAAAACTAATAATAATACATGTAAATAGCTATAGCTTAAATTATTGCAAAATGTGACTGGGCTTGTTGGAAATGAACTTGTCATGTCTATTCTAGTTTGATATGTTGCTGTCACAACAAGTTATTAAATCTGATTATCGCAAACCTCACCGCTCAGGCAGTCAGGGAATGGGTGACAGGAGAATGCATCCACATCGAGAATGCATCCACATCGGTCTCTGGATTAATGACATAGCACTGTGAGACAAATGCAATGGAAGGGTCTTTCGCAGCCTGATCTCATAGACTAGACGTAACATAGTAAATGAAAATCCGGGACACTCAAATTAGTATGATATGTTATGTTTGGCATGGTGCATAAGACAAAAGGTTACTTAAGGCAAAAACAAAAGTATGGTGATTGGTAGGGGTGGATGGGTAGGCGTATAATGCGATCGTCTAGCAACACAAAGGTTGCGTGTTTGAATCTCATCATGGACAACTTTAGCATTTGAGCTAATTAGACATTTTGCAACTACTTTTTAGCTACTTTGTAACTACTTAGCATGTTAGCCAACCCTTCCCATAGGCAATGAAATGTTTTTCAAAAAAGAAGCTGATGAAGATGTGTGGATTTCCTCGTAGGTGAAATGTTTCCTTTGAAGTGTTTAGTATGTGTTCTTGTACCGGTATGAACATGAACTGGTGATGATCACCACTATATATAATGGCGGTTGGTTATAGGGCGTCCCCCTCCTCGAGGAGCAAGCACAGAACAGGGACTGCCACCCAAACCCCTGGGGCCACTGGAGAGAGTCTACCAAGAGATTGCCATCCTGAAGAAACTAGATCACCTTAACATTGTCCATCTGGTGGAGGTGAACACACTGACATACATAAGTGGAAGATTTAAAAGGTCTATTACATGTAGTTTTATTAATTTAATAGATTTACACTTTCCAATTGTAGGTTCTTGATGATCCTGCTGAAGACAATCTCCACATGGGTAAGTATGCATTCATCATGTGGTGTTACGTGGTAAATGGATGTTTTCTGTTGTATCTCCTTGTACTAGTTCCATAGTTAGTAGAGTATAATACAGTCTGTCCAGTTAATTTATTACATAGAAACTAATGTGAGCTCTGACTCATTCTCTGTTTGTTTATTTTCTAGCCTTTGAGTTAATGCCAAAAGGGTAAGTTTGACCCCTTTCTGAAATATACTGTATTACATTACATTATAACGCTGGTCCTTTGTAGCTCAGTTGGTAGAGCATGGCGCTTGTAACGCCAGGGTAGTGGGTTTGATTTCCGGGACCACCCATATGTAAAATGTATGCACGCATGACTGCAATTCACTTTGGATAAAAGCGTCTGCTAAATGGCTTATATTTTTATTATATATAACACTGAAAGGATGAATTTTGTTATTTATATATAACTCATCCAGTTACTGAATTTGGTGAATATAAGGTATCCATTTTTAAGGGATATAAGATACCAATGACAAGGTTCAGGAAAACCACTGTTTGGAAGATTATGGTGGTGATGCTTGCTTACCTTTGTCTGTCTCTGTTGCTTTTCCTGGGCCCTAGCCCAGTGATGGAGGTGCCCTCAGACACTCCCTTCACAGATGAACAAGCCCGCTTCTACTTCAGAGACATCATCCTGGGGATTGAATACTGTGAGTCCTCCACCTGGATTTTGTCCCAAATGGCACTCTATTCCAAATATAGTGCACTACTTTAGACCTGAGCCCTAAGGGCCATGGTCAAAAGTAGTGCACTAAATAGGGAATAGAGTGTCATTTGGGACGTAGGACTTACTAGCCTTCTGTTCAGAGACCTGCAGCATACTGCTAACCCTGCTCACGCTTTAGTAAAACATTGGTTTAAAAGTCACTAGTCTGATATGTTCTGAAAAGACAGGATCAATTGGTGCATTGACAGCTGAATATCAAGACCTAAATCACTCGGTCAATGCTGTTTATAGACGTATAAAAGTTGATCTAAAAAAAGAGCTAAATCAGTGTCTCCTGTCCTTTTTCCCTGGTCACCCTCTCTCTTCCTCTGTCCCAGTGCACTACCAGAAGATCATCCACAGAGACATCAAGCCTTCCAACTTGTTGCTGGGAGACAATGGGCATGTGAAGATTGCAGACTTTGGTGTCAGTAACCAGTTTGAAGGGAGTGATGCTCTCCTGTCCAGCTCAGCAGGGACTCCAGCCTTCATGGCCCCAGAGATGATAACTGACCATGTACAGAGCTTTACTGGCAAGGTTAGACACTAATCGCTAATTTATCTAATCAGATCATCGTTGATTATATCCTAGAAATAATATTTACCCCATGAAAATGTATTGTATTGACTGGTATCAAAAATACTTACTGTACTGTAAAATATACAGCAAGCTCTCTTTGGAAAGTAATGGTCAATGTTCATGTTTGTTAGGCCTTGGATGTGTGGGCCATGGGAGTCACCCTGTACTGCTTTGTCTATGGGAAGGTAGGTTCTGTTATTATCATAATGTACGGTATTCTGCCATGGATTGTTTTGGCCCACTGGTTTCTCATCTGATTTAGTGTGTCCATTATGCTGATGACCACAAATATTGTTTGATCAAAGGTTGCATCTCGCATATTAATGCTTTCAAAATAAACCAATGTAATGATTTATGTGGGAAACAGACAGCATGTATATGCATGTAGCCTATCTCTTTATAGCAGCATTTTAATGTTTTTTTCTTCACTATCTTCCTATCTTAGTGTCCTTTCATCGATGAATACATCATCGGCCTGCACAATAAGATCAGGAACAGGCCTGTGGAGTTCCCAGACACGTGAGTTCCACTAAGGGACAGTAAAAGCAATGTCTGAATATTTAGTCAGGACTATATGCACCACTCTAAAATATGGGTAGAACTTCACAATATAGCATGTTATAGCACGTGATAATAACATAGTAATAGTATTGTATTATTGTTCTTAGCCATTCACTGCTACCGTAGTTACTGTACTGTAGATGGTTATTTTCTATTTGGTGGGTATTCATCTCAGTCCCTCTTTGGTCCCACAGGCCTGAAGTATGCAAGGAGTTGAAGGAGCTTATTGTAAGGATGCTGGATAAAAATCCTTATACAAGGATCACCATTCCTGAAATCAAGGTGAAAGGGGGCAGAGCTAGACCTTCGATGGTGCTTAAAAAAACCCAATCCTTCATGAAACCATTTTGACACTTCAAATGAAATGTTACAGTAGTAGTGTTGTCCCAGTAGAGCTGTCTCGTGTGTTGTGTGACTGTTGTCCTCCCTGTCCTGTGTGTTGCCAGGAGCACCCGTGGGTGACGGAGGATGGCACTGACCTTCTACCCCTGGAGGAGGAACACTGCACCGTGGTGGAGGTCACTGCGGAGGAGGTCCAGAACTCCATCAAGCTCATCCCCAGTCTGTCTGCTGTGGTGAGTCAGTTCACTAGCGTCCTGTCCAGGGGATATACAGGAGATAGGCTCCTGCCCTATGAGCCGTTCTGGCTTGGACAAGACTTACTTACTTACTTACTTACTCATCTATCACAAATAGGGCCAGGAGTTTTTCCTGAACATCTGTGTCTTAATATGGGAAAAAGTCTGGGACCTACACCAGGAAAAACTTGAGGACCCAGAGTTTTCCAGGTCAAGACACATGGTCAGGGAAAAGTTAAGTCATAAGGCAGATTGATTATTGCTCTGTATTGCTCTGTCCTAAATGGCACTCTATTCCCAATATAGTGCACAACTTTTGACCAGGGCCTCTGGTCAAAAGTAGTGCACTATATAGACAATATGGTGCCATTTGGGACACACCCTGTGACACTCTCTCTCCCCACGTTAGATCCTGGTGAAGTCCATGCTAAGGAAGAGGTCCTTCAGTAACCCCTTTGTGTATCAGAACAGGAGGGCAGAGAGGTCCATGTCTGCTCCAGGAGGTCTCCTTGCGTAAGTCCCCTAGAAATCCTCCTTATCTGGTTTCTCTATCTGCCGACTTTGGGATTAGGAAACAAACAAAATAAAAGTGACAGAAATACACAGAGTTGGTTAGCTATATAGGCTACTGTAAATGGGATTAACATAGGATGACAATTCCCCCATCCACAGGGCACGAGTGGTCACTGGATGGTTTGATAAACATGAAAATGATGTAAACCCGGGATCATCAACTAGATTCAGCCGTGGGCCGATTATTTCTTGATTGGATGGTTGGGGAGCAGGAACATAATTACAAATAATTTGTAGACTGCAAATTAACCGCAAGAAGCCCAAACAGATCTAATATTTGACTAAAACATAATAATTTCAAACCTTGCATACATTTGTATACGATCATGTGTCTCTCTATTGTGCATGGGAATAAATGGGAACAGATTTCCAAAATTAAAATAACATGAATGTTTTTACAGTCTTTTATATCCAACAATGAAAATTTAAAAAAGGGTTTTGCTCAGAAAACTTAGTGGGCCAAATAAAACCACCCGTGGGCCGCCAGTTGGGGAACTCTGATGTAAACCATATGCCATGGCCGTCTCAGTCACCAGATCTGAACCCAATTGAACACTTCTGGGAGATTCTGGAGCGGCGCCTGAGAGTGTTTTCCACCACCATCAACAAAACACAAAATTATGGAATTTCTCGTAGAAGAATGGTGTCGCAATCTTCCAATAGAGTTCCAGACACTTGTAGAATCTATGCCAAGGCGCATTGAAGCTGTTCTGGCGGCTCGTAGTGGCCCAATGCCCTAATAAGACTTTATGTTGGTGTTTCCTTTATTTGGTGTGTTGGTGTTTCCTTTATTTTGGCAGTTACCTGTTTCTGTAGCAGAAGCATTTGGCCCCTCCTAAAAAGCTAAGAGGAAAGCCCAGAGGAAAGCAGAGCTAATGGTGTGCTGCCAGCTGTGTTTGTTTTCCATAAAGTCAGGCTGGGTGTACAGTAAGTGCACTGGGACCTGCGTGGAGCTGTGGGGTGCCTCTGCAACAACTAATTATACCTCCTTGTGAAGTGATGTAGCTCTGAGCTAATTAGCTAGTTCTGGTCCAGTGTGTTACGTACTGCTTGGCTGTAGGAAGGCGCAGAGTCAACAAGTTGCATGTAACGCTCTGGAAGTGATGTAGCGCTGTGGTATAGTTAGCTCTCTTCTTCCAAACCATAGAGATCCTATATTTACTAATTCACTTCATTTGTGAGTTATATGATCTCTATATTCCACACCACACAGGGGCGTCATGCACCCCAAACATTTTAGGGGGCACAATTTTTATTTTATTTTATTATTATTATTTTTTTTTGGGATTATGCTGTCCAAGATTATGCTGTCCAAGATGGCGAAGTAGTGCAGTCCTGTTTCTGTCGTGTGTCTGTAAATAGCCTGTAAATACCCTGTTTTTGTATTTTTCGTACATATTTCCCTATCAGACTTTTCATCCTTCTACAAAATATACTTTCCTGCAACCCGCCTCACTCAATGTGGAACGGATTCTATTATTGACTTACCTTTTATCTCCAGTTGAAACTAGCTAGCCAGCTAACTAGCTACTTGCTATTAGCCACAGCTAGCGGTGTTTCACCCAGAACATTGGATTTTTTCCGCGGGATTAATTTTAATCACTGGACATTGATCACCAGATATTCGGCCAGTCTGCACAGCGCGTTATCGACCCAGAACATATCAGTTTTTCCGCCGGAATCACTGAATCACTGGACCTTTAACTCCGGATTCATCGCTACCAGCTGGCTACAACAAAACGGACGCTGTGGTCTGGCTAATCATCCTGAGCTAGGCCCATCTCCCGGCTATCTACCTCTCTGTCAACCGGACGGGACCACCTAGTGTTGACACGGAGCCCCGCCGATCCTACACGACTGGTCTGCCGACGAAATCGTCTGATGTGGTTACGACGTTAACCACGAAGATTCCATCCATCTGCTAGCCCTGGCCCGTTAGCACACGCTATCCGTGGCCTCTTACTCACTAAACTGAACTAGCTACTGAACTAGCTACTTGCTATTAGCCACAGCTAGCGGTGTTTCACCCAGAACATTGGATTTTTTTCAGTGGGATTAATTTTAATCACTGGACATTGATCACCGGATACTCGGCCAGTCTGCACAGCGCGTTATCGACCCAGAACATATCAGTTTTTCCGCCGGAATCACTGAATCACTGGACCTTTAACTCCGGATTCATCGCTACCAGCTGGCTACAACAAAACGGACGCTGTGGTCTGGCTAATCATCCTGAGCTAGGCCCATCTCCCGGCTATCTACCTCTCTGTCAACCGGACGGGACCACCTAGTGTTGACACGAAGCCCCGCCGATCCTACACGACTGGTCTGCCGACGAAATCGTCTGATGTGGTTACGACGTTAACCACGAAGATTCCATCCATCTGCTAGCCCTGGCCCGTTAGCACACGCTAGCCGTGGCCTCTTACTCACTAGCGCTTCACCACCGGACCTTATGATAACTCAGCTATACAGCTGATATCTGCTGGACTGTTCCTTTTTACGGTACTACATCCTGTTTATGTTTAGCCTCAGCCCAAACATGGTTAGTTTATTGTTGTTTCGGTTATTTCTAATTGTACTATATCACTGTAGACCCCCCAGCCTAGCTAAACCTGCCTTAGATAGCTCCTTTGTCCCTCCCCCCATACACTCAGAGACCGACTCAATTGATGCCTCTAGAGATACTATCTCTTTCATTGTTACCCAACGCTTAGGTTTACCTCCACTTTACTCATATCCTTCCATATCCTTGTCTGTACATAATGCCCTGAATCTTTTCTATAACACCCGGAAATCTGCCCCCTTTATTCTATGTACCCAACGCACTAGAAGACCAGTTCTTAAAGCCTTTAGCCGTATCCTTATTCTAGTCCTCCTCTGTTCCTCTGGTGATGTAGAGGCTTACCCAGGCCCTGTAGCCCCCAGTATCACTCCTACTCCCCAGGAGCTATCATTTGTTGACTTCTGTAATCGCAAAAGTCTTGGTTTCTTGCACATAAATATCAGAAGTCTACTTCCTAAGTTTGAGTTATTCACTGCGTTAGCACACTCTGCCAACCCTGATGTTCTAGCAGTGTCTGAATCCTGGCTCAGGAAGGCCACCAAAAATTCTGAAATTTCCATCCCCAACTATAACATTTTCCGTCTAGATAGAACTGCCAAAGGGGGTGGAGTTGCAATCTACTGTAGAGATAGCCTGCAGAGCTCTATCATACTATCCAGGTCTGTGCCCAAACAGTTTGAGCTTCTACTTCTAAAAATCCACCTTTCCAGAAATAAGTCTCTCACTGTTGCCGCTTGCTACAGACCCCCCTCAGCCCCCAGCTGTGCCCTGGACACCATATGTGAATTGATTGCCCCCCATTTATCCTCAGAGTTTGTACTGCTTGGTGACCTAAATTGGGATATGCTTAATACCCCAGCCATCCTACAATCCAAGCTAGATGCCCTCAACCTCACGCAAATTATCAACGAACCTACCAGGTACAACCCTAAATCCGTAAACATGGGTACCCTCATAGATATCATCCTGACTAACATACCCTCTAAATACACCTCAGCTGTCTTCAACCAGGATCTCAGCGATCACTGCCTTATTGCCTGCGTCCGTAACGGGTCCGCGGTCAAACGACCACCCCTCATCACTGTCAAACGCTCCCTAAAACACTTTAGCGAGGAGGCCTTCCTAATTGACCTGGCCCAGGTATCCTGGATGGATATAGATCTCATTCCGTCAGTAGAGGATGCCTGGTTGTTCCTTAAAAGTAATTTCCTCTCAATCTTAAATAAACATGCCCCATTCAAAAAATACAGAACTAAGAACCGATATAGCCCCTGGTTCTCCTCAGACTTGACTGCCCTTGACCAGCACAAAAACATCCTGTGGCGTACAGCATTAGCATCAAATAGCCCCCGCGATATGCAACTTTTCAGGGAAGTTAGGAACCAATATACACAAGCAGTCAGGAAAGCAAAGGCTAACTTTTTCAAACAGAAATTTGCATCCTGTAGCACTAACTCCAAAAAGTTTTGGGACACTGTAAAGTCCATGGAGAATAAGAGCACTTCCTCCCAGCTGCCCACTGCACTGAGGCTAGGAAACACTATCACCACCGATAAATCTACAATAATCGAGAATTTCAACAAGCATTTTGCTACAGCTGGCCATGCTTTCCATCTGGCTACCACTAACCCGGCCACCAACTCTGCACCCTCTGCTGCAACTTGCCCATGCCCCCCCCGCTTCTCCTTCACACAAATTCAGACAGCTGATGTTTTGAAAGCGCTGCAAAATCTGGACCCCTACAAATCAGCTGGGCTAGACAATCTGGACCCTTTCTTTCTAAAACTAGCCGCCGAAATTGTCGCAACCCCTATTACTAGTCTGTTCAACCTCTCTTTCATAACGTCTGAGATCCCCAGAGATTGGAAAGCTGCCTCTTCAAAGGGGGTGACACTCTAGATCCAAACTGCTACAGACCTATATCCATCCTGCCCTGCCTTTCGAAAGTATTCGAAAGCCAAGTTAACAAACAGATCATCGACCATTTCGAATACCACCGTACCTTCTCCGCTATGCAATCCGGTTTCCGAGCTGGTCACGGGTGCACTTCAGCCACGCTCAAGGTCCTAAACGATATTATAACCGCGATTGATAATAGACAGTACTGTGCAGCCGTCTTCATCGACCTGGCCAAGGCTTTCGACTCTGTCAACCACCGCATTCTTATTGGCAGACTAAATAGCCTTGGTTTCTCAAATGACTGCCTCGCCTGGTTCACCAACTACTTCTCAGATAGAGTTCAGTGTGTCAAATCGGAGGGCCTGTTGTCTGGACCTATGGCAGTCTCTATGGGGGTGCCACAGGGTTCAATTCTTGGGCCGACACTTTTCTCCGTGTATATCAATGATGTCGCTCTTGCTGCTGGTGACTCTCAGATCCACCTCTACGCAGACGACACCATTTTGTATACATCTGGCCCTTCATTGGACACTGTGTTAACAAACCTCCAAACGAGCTTCAATGCCATACAACAATCCTTCAGTAGCCTTCAACTGCTCTTAAACACTAGTAAAACTAAATGCATGCTTTTCAATCGAACGCTGCTAACACCCGCCCACCCGACTAGAATCACCACTCTCGACGGGTCTGACCTAGAGTATGTGGACAACTACAAATATCTAGGTGTCTGGTTAGACTGTAAACTCAACTTCCAGACTCACATAAAGAATCTCCAATCCAAAGTTAAATCTAGAATCGGCTTCCTATTTCGCAACAAAGCCTCCTTCACTCATGCTGCCAAACATGCCCTCGTAAAACTGACTATCCTACCGATCCTTGACTTCGGCGATGTCATTTACAAAATAGCCTCCAACACTCTACTCAGCAAATTGGATGTAGTCTATCACAGTGCCATCCGTTTTGTCTCCAAAGCCCCATACACTACCCACCACTGTGACCTGTACGCTCTTGTTGGCTGGTCCTCACTATATGTTCGTCGTCAAACCCACTGGCTCCAGGCCATCTATAAATCACTGCTAGGCAAATCCCCGCCTTATCTTAGCTCATTGGTCACCATAGCAGCACCCACCCGTAGTCTGCGCTCCAGCAGGTATATCTCACTGGTCATTCCCAAAGCCAACACCTCCTTTGGCCGCCATTCCTTCCAGTTCTCTGCTGCCAATGACTGGAACGAATTGCAAAAATCTCTGAAGCTGGAGACTCTTATCTCCCTCAATAACTTTAAGCATCAGTTGTCAGAGCACCTTACCGATCACTGCACCTGTACACAGCCCATCTGAAATTAGCCCACCCAACTACCTCATCCCTATATTGTTATTTATTTTACTCTTTCGCACCCCAGTATCTCTATTTGCACATAATCTCTTGCACATCTAGCATTCCAGTGTTAATACTATTGTAATTATTCTGCACTATAGCCTATTTATTGCCTTACCTCCATAACTTGCTACATTTGCACACACTGTATATATATTTTCTGTTGTATTTCTGACTTTATGTTTTTTACCCCATATGTAACTCTGTGTTGTTTTTATTGCACTACTTTGCTTTATCTTGGCCAGGTCGCAGTTGTAAATGAGAACCTGTTCTCAACTGGCTTACCTGGTTAAATAAAGGTGAAATAAAAAAATAAAATACACCTTAGCCAAATACATTTAAACTACGTTTTTTATCATTCCTGACATTTAATCCTAGTAAAAATTCCCTGTCTTAGGTCAGTTAGGTTCACCACTTTATTTTAAGAATGTGAAATGTCAGAATAATAGTAGAGAGAATTATTTATTTAAGCTTTTATTTCTTTCATCACATTCCCAGTAGGTCAGAAATGTACATACACTCAATTAGTATTTGGTAGCATTGCCTTTAAATTGTTTAACTTGGGTCAAACGTTTTGGGTAGCCTTCCACAAGCTTCCCACAATAAGTTGGGTGCATTTTGGCCCATTCCTCCTGACAGAGCTGGTGTAACTGAGTCAGGTTTCTAGGCCTCCTTGCTCACACACGCCTTTTCAGTTCTGCCCACACATTTTCTATAGGATTGTGGTCAGGGCTTTGTGATGGCCACTCCAATACCTTGATTTTGTTGTCCTTAAGCCATTTTGCCACAACTTTGGAAATATGCTTGTGGTCATTGTTCATTTGGAAGACCCATTTGCGACGAAGCTTTAACTTCCTGACTGATGTCTTGAGATGTTGCTTCAATATATCCACATCATTTTCCTTCCTCCTGATGCTATCTATTTTGTGAAGTGCACCAGTCCCTCCTGCAGCAAAGCACCCCCACAGCATGATGCTGCCACCCCCGTGCTTCACGGTTGGGATGGTGTTCTTCGGCTTGCAAGGTACCCACTTTTTCATCCAAACATAACGATGGTCATTATGGCCAAACAGTTCTATTTTTGTTTCATCAGACCAGAGGACATTTCTCCAAAAAGTACGATCTTTGTCCCCATGTGCAGTTGCAAAGCATAGTTTGGCTTATTCATGGCAGTTTTGGAGCAGTAGCTTCTTCCTTGCTGAGCGGCCTTTCAGGTTATGTCGATATAGGACTCGTTTTACTGTGGATATAGATACTTTTGTACCTGTTTCTTCCAGCATCTTCACAAGGTCCTTTGTTGTTGTTCTGGGATTGAGTTGTACTTTTCGCACCAAAGTACGCGTCTCCTTCCTGAGCGGTATGACGGCTGCGTGGTCCCATGGTGTTTATACTTGCGTACTATTGTTGGTACAGATGAACGTGGTACCTTCAGGCAGATGAACCAGACTTCTGGAGGTCTACAATTTTTGGCTGATTTCTTTTGATTTTCCCATGATGTCAAGCAAAAAGGCACTGAGTTTGAAAGGCCTTGAAATACATCCACAGGTACACCTCCAATTGACTCAAATGATGTCAATGAGAACTTGTTCTCAACTAGCTTACCTGGTTAAATCAAGGTTAAATTAGCCTATCAGAAGCTTCTAAAGCCATGACATCATTTTCTGGAATTTTCCAAGCTGTTTAAAGGCACAGTCAACCTAGTGTATGTAAACTTCTGACCCACTGGAATTGTGATACAGTGAATTATAAATGAAATAATCTGTCTGTAAACAATTATTGGAAAAATTACTTGTGTCATGCACAAAGTAGATGTCCTAACCGACTTGCCAAAACTATAGTTTGTTAACAAGAAATTTGTGGAGTGGTTGAAAAACGAGTTTTAATAACTCCAACCTAAGTGTATGTAAACTTCCAACTTCAACTGTATCTAAGCATACCTCTTGAGCTGTTTGTTTCTCTGCATCTCTGTTAAGATCTGGGTAAAATATTGAAAGGAATGTGAGTCTTATTCAGTACATTTAGTTATTTCTTGCTTTTCTAAAGTCTACCAACCTTGCCAGTAGGCATGCCAGCTAAGACAGTTAGACATACACTACTGGTCAAAAGTTTTAGAACACCTACTCATTCAAGGGTTTTTGTTTATTTTTTACTATTTTCTACATTGTATAATAATAGTGAAGACATCAACACTATGAAATAACACATATGGAATCATGTAGTAACCAAAAAAGTGTTAAACAAATCAAAATATATTTTATATTTGAGATTCTTCAAATAGCCACCCTTTGCCTTGATGACAGCTTTGCACACTCTTGGCATTCTCTCAACCATCTTCACCTGGAATCCTTTTCCAACAGTCTTGAAGGAGTTCCCACATATGCTTAGCACTTGTTGGCTAATTTTCCTTCACTCTGCGGTCCGACTCATCCCAAATCATCTCAATTTGGTTGAGGTCGGGGGATTGTGGAGGCCAGGTCATCTGATGCAGCACTCCATCACTCTCCTTCTTGGTAAAATAGCCCTTACACAGTCTGGAGGTGTGTTGGGTCATTGTTCTGTTGAAAAACAAATGATAGTCCCACTAAGCCCAAACCAGATGGGATGGCATATCGCTGCAGAATGCTGTGGTAGCCATGCTGGTTAAGTGTGCCTTGAATTCTAAATTAATTATTCCATCCATCATCACATTTGCAGACTTATGTCAGAGCCTATTATTCCTAATGTGATGAGTAGATTGGATAGTCATAATTTATGCTAATAATATAACTCAGTCACTGTTCGCAAAAAGGACTGTTAAATGCTTGGCTGAGCATGTAGTCCGTAGAGTAGGCTTAGGCTATAGGCTATATCAGATATGTTTCTTCTCCTTTCTTTGCTCTGGAAAATGTTTGCCTTTTACAGTGAGGGAAAAAAGTATTTGATCCCCTCCTGATTTTGTACGTTTACCCACTGACAAAGACATGATCAGTCTATAATTTTAATGGTAGGTTTATTTGAACAGTGAGAGACAGAATAACAACAAAAAAATCCAGAAAAAACGAATGTCAAAAATGTTATAAATTGATTTTTTATTTTAATGAGGGAAATAAGTATTTGACCCCCTCTCAATCAGAAAGATTTCTGGCTCCCAGGTGTCAGGGACAAGATTGTAGACCTACACAAGGCTGGAATGGGCTACAAGACCATCGCCAAGCAGCTTGGTGAGAAGGTGACAACAGTTGGTGCGATTATTCGCAAATGGAAGAAACACAAAAGAACTGTCAATCTCCCTCGGCCTGGGGCTCCATGCAAGATCTCACCTCGTGGAGTTGCAATGATCATGAGAACGGTGAGGAATCAGCCCAGAACTACAAGGGAGGATCTTGTCAATGATCTCAAGGCAGCTGGGACCATAGTCACCAAGAAAACAATTTGTAACACACGACGCTGTGAAGGACTGAAATCCTGCAGCACCCGCAAGGTCCCCCTGCTCAAGAAAGCACATATACAGGCCCATCTGAAGTTTGCCAATAAACATCTGAATGATTCAGAGGAGAACTGGGTGAAAGTGTTGTGGTCAGATGAGACCAAAATCGAGCTCTTTGGCATCAACTCAACTCGCCGTGTTTGGAGGAGGAGGAATGCTGCCTATGACCCCAAGAACACAATCTCCACCGTCAAACATGGAGGTGGAAACATTATCCTTTGGGGGTGTTTTTCTGCTAAGGGGACAGGACAACTTCACCGCATCAAAGGGACGATGGACGGGGCCATGTACCGTCAAATCTTGGGTGAGAACCTCCTTCCCTCAGCCAGGGCATTGAAAATGGGTCGTGGATGGGTATTCCAGCATGACAATGACCCAAAACACAGGGCCAAGGCAACAAAGGAGTGGCTCAAGAAAAGCACATTAAGGTCCTGGAGTGGCCTTGCCAGTCTCCAGACCTTAATTCCATAGAAAATCTGTGGAGGGAGCTGAAGGTTCGAGTTGCCAAACGTCAGCCTTGAAACCTTAATGACTTGGAGAAGATCTGCAAAGAGGAGTGGGACAAAATCCCTCCTGAGATGTGTGCAAACCTTGTGGCCAACTACAAGAAACGTCTGACCTCTGTGATTGCCAACAAGGGTTTTGCCACCAAGTACTAAGTCATGTTTTTCAGAGGGGTCAAATACTTATTTCCCTCATTAAAATGCAAATACATTTATAACATTTTTTACCTGTGTTTTTCTTGATTTATTTGTTGTTATTCTGCCTCTCACTGTTGAAATAAACCTACCATTAAAATTATAGACTGATCATATCTTTGTCAGTGGGCAAACGTACAAAATCAGCAGGGGATCATATACTTTTTTCCCTCACTGTATGCAACTCTACACTTTATATGACTGGAGATATTAGCATCATATTTTTTAATACAACAAAAATTACAGGGTAGCCTACTCTGCTGACGCTGACAAACAGATCAATAAATATGATGTTGATCCATCTAATATTCCTATGACAAGGGGAGACACAAATACAATATGACGTCCATCTAACCTGGAGGACAAAATGATTGTCCAAAAACTGACCCAACAATGATAAAGAGTGAATATGCTCACTCATTTGTATTTGTATTTATTATGGATCCCCATTGGGGTCCATAAAAATTAAGGCAGTTATACATATTTCAAACATTAAAATACATTCACAACATATTTCACAACATATTAAGTGTGTGCCCTCAGGCCCCTACTCTACTACCACATATCCACAACACAAAATCCACGTGTGCGTGTGTGTATAGTGCGTATGTTATCATGTGTTTGATTGCATGTGTCTGTGCCTACGTTTGTGTTGCTTCACAGTCCCCGCTGTTCCATGAGGTGTATTTTTATCTGTTTTTTAAATCTAATTTTACTGCTTGCATGAGTTACTTGATGTGGAATAGAGTTCCATGTAGTCATGGTTCTATGTAGTACAGTGCGCTTCCCATAGTCTGTTCTGGACATGGGAACTGTGAGGAGGCCTCTGGTGGCATGTCTTTTGGGGTATGCATGGGTGTCCGAGCTGTGTGCCAGTAGTTCAAAGAGACAGCTCGGTGCATTCAACATGTCAATACCTCTCACAAATACAAGTAGTGATGAAGTCAATCTCTCCTCCACTTTGAGCCAGGAGAGATTGACATGCATATTATTTATGGTTGCTCTCTGTGTACATCCAAGGGCCAGTCGTGCTGCCCTGTTCTGAGCCAATTGCAATTTTCCTAAGTCCCTCTTTGTGGCACCTGACCACACGACTGAACAGTAGTCCAAGTGCGACAAAAATAGGGCCTGTAGGACCTGTCTTGTTGATAGTGCTGTTAAGAATGCAGAACAGCGCTTTATTATGGACAGACTTCTCCCCATCCTAGCTACTGTTGTATCAATATGTTTTGACCATGACAGTTTACAATCCAGGGTTACTCCAAGCAGTTTAGTCTCCTCAACTTGCTCAATTCCCACATTATTCATTACAAGATTTAGTTAAGATTTAGGGTTTAGTGAATGATTTGTCCCAAATACAATGCTTTTAGTTTTTGAAATATTTAGGACTAACTTATTCCTTGCCACCCATTCTGAAACTAACTGCAGCTCTTTGTTAAGTGTTGCAGTCATTTCAGTCGCTGTGGTAGCTGACGTTAATAGTGTTGAGTCATCCGCATACATAGACACACTGGCTTTACTCAAAGCCAGCGGCGTCGGCATGTCGTTAGTAAAGATTGAAAAAAGTAAGGGGCCTAGATAGCTGCCCTGGAGAAATTGTGATTCTACCTGGATTTTGTTGGAGAGACTTCCATTAAAGAACACACACTGTGTTCTGTTAGACAGGTAACTCTTTATCCACAATTATAGTAGGGGGTGTAAAGCCATAACACATACGTTTTTCCAGCAACAGACTATGTTCGATAATGTCAAAAGCCACACTGGTCTAACAAAACAGCCCCCACAATCTTTTTTAAATTATAAATTCATCAGTCATTTGTGTAAGTGCTGTGCTTGTTGAATGTACTTCCCTATAAGCGTGCTGAAAGTCTGTTGTCAATTTGTTTACTGTAAAGTAGCATTGTATCTGGTCAAACACCATTTTTTCCAAAAGTTTACAAAGGGTTGGTAACAGGCTGATTGGTCTGCTATTTGAGCCAGTAAAGGGAGCTTAACTATCCTTAGGTAGGGGAATAACTTTTGCTTCCCTCCAGGCCTGAGGGCACACACTTTCTAGTAGGCTTAAATTGAAGACATGGCAAATAGGAGTGGCAATATCATCCGCTATTATCCTCAGTAATTTTACAACCAAGTTGTCAGACCCCGGTGGCTTGTCATTGTTGATAGACAACAATAATATTTTCACCTTTTCCACACTTACTTTACGGAATTCAAAATTCCAATGCTTGTCTTTCAGAATTTGGTCAGATATACTTGGATGTGTAGTGTCAGCGTTTTGTTGCTGGCATGTTGTGCCTAAGTTTGCTAATCTTGCCAATGAAAAAATCATTAAAGTAGTTGGCAATATCAGTGGGTTTTGTGATGAATGAGACATCTGATTCAATGAATGATGGAGCAGGGTTTGCCTTTCTGCCCAAAATTTCATTTAAGGTGCTCACATAATTCTTTATGTCATTTATATTTGTTTCATAGTGTAGTTTCTTCTTCTTTTGATTCAGTTTAGTCACATGATTACTCAATTTGCAGTGCGTTTGCCAATCGGTCGTACAGCCAGACCTATTTGCCATTTATTTTGCCTCATCCCTCTCAACCACACAGTTTTTCAAATCCTCATCAATCCACGGGGATTTAACAGTTTTTAACGTCATTTTCTTAATAGGTGCATGCTTATTAGTAACTGGGATAAGCAATTTCATAAATGTGTCAAGTGCAGCGTCTGGTTGCTCCTCATTACACACCACTGTCCAACAAATATTATTTACATCAACAACATAGGAATCGCTACAAAACTTATTGTATGACCTCTTATACACTATATTAGGCCGAGCCTTTGGAACTTTGGTTTTCCCAGATATGGCTACTACATCCAATGGATTTGGATACTGCCTTCAAACTAATTTCTGCAGCATTAGTAAGGATGTGATCAAGACATGTTGATGATTTCATTCCTGTGCTGTTTGTAACTACCCTGGTAGGTTGATTGATAACCTGAACCAGGCTGCAGGCACTAGTTACAGTTTGAAGCGTTATCTTGAGTGGGCAGCCTGATGAAAGCCAGTCAATATTCAAATCACCCAGAAAATATACCTCTCTATTGACATCACATACATTATCAAGCATTTCACACGTTATCCAGATACTGACTGTTAGCACTTGGTGGTCTATAGCAGCTTCCCACCAGAATGGACTTTAGGTGAGGCAGATGAACCTGTAGCCATATTACTTCAACAGTATTTAACATGAGATCCTCTCTAAGCTTTACTGGAATGTGGTTCTGAATATAAACAGCTACACCTCCACCATTGGCATTTCTGTATTTTCTGTAGATCTAATAACCATGTATTGCTACCACTGTATCATCAAAGGTATTATCTAAGTGAGTTTCAGAGATTGTCAGAATATGAACGTCATCTGTTACTAACAAATTATTGATTTCATGAACCTTGTTTCTTAAGCTACATACAGTATGTTAACGTGGGCTATTTTTAACACTTTTCTGGGATTCTTGATTGTTTTCCTTGCTTTACTGGGAAGCTTAGCAGAGGTAGACATGCTCAAGTTATTTATGTTAGTGCAGGGTGAGCTGCACACAGTGGACTTCCTGCTAGGGCACACCACCTCAGTGCTAACAGTATAACTATGGTTCATAGGCATATGATTACTGCATCCAATAGCTGTAGAATCAGCAGAGGCATTCAGGGCAGTAAGAGGGACATCAATTAGGTTACTTACATTGTGTCTTCCAACGCCCCTGGGATAATGTACATTTGCTGAAGCATTATGACAACTCAGCGACACAATGGTAGGGATTAAATGGGCTGGGCTTGGGTCATTGATAAGTCATTGTCTCAACGCATATGGCCGATGCTCTCCGCTGGCGCCAATAAGATAGGCTATACTGTTCTCTCAATTAAGTTGAGAATGTTTATAACTAAAAGGCAGATTAAAGTATTGTCTTTGTCTTCTGTTTACAGCAATAGTCATTTGCTTTCCAAACTGTTTTCCCACGATTGTATTTTAGAATATTGTGATATGGGTTGTTTATCTATCTCCATCATGTAATGTAAATGTATGATTAAATTGCTTATTTACCATTGACGTGCAGTCTTTAACAAGCACATATTTGCTGATATTGTCATTTTCTTGTCTATCTGTTACCCATTGCAGGGACTCTTGGGGGCGATTGGAATCCAAGGTTCATCCTTCGTTGAGGTAAGTGCCCATATATAGAGAATATGGTGCGATTAGAAATTGGGACGCAATCTCAGTCTTGTGCTAACAGGTTTTCTTCTGAAGTTTGATCACTGTCATTCTACTCTATGGCATTATATTTCTATGATCTCAGTACTATCTCAACTGCTGAGAGTTGATGTGTATTGGACCTGATGGGTAATGCTGTTCCTGACATGCATGGCATTTAATGCATTGTTGTTCTTGTCATGACCCTTCCCCCTTCTAGTTGCCTTTAACAACACACAGTAACATGGCAACAGTAAGCATGTTGTCCCCCACAAATGATGCAGCACCCCCATTGGGCCAATGAGTGACAATTATTCACTTTTTTGTTCTGTGGATTAATGAGAAAGATAAAAAACAAAAGCTGGAAATCCAAACTTGATAGCTCACAATGGACGGGATGTCAGACTATGGACTCCACTGCCTCATAGGGAGATGCATTGATATAAAACAGGATCATGAGGAGATGCATATATGTACAAAATGCCATGACTGTAGATAAAAAGGGACAGGAGATATGCTTGTTCAAAATTTGTTGGGGGACAAAGTAGAAAATAGTAAAAATAAAGAAAAACCCTTGAATGAGTAGGTGTTCTAAAACTTTTGACCGGTAGTGTACAGTTGAAGTCGGAAGTTTACATACACCTTAGCCATATACATATTAAACTCAGTTTTTCACAATTCCTGACATTTAATCCTAGTAAAAATTCCCTGTTTTAGGTCAATTATGATCACCACTTTATTTTAAGAATGTGAAATGTCAGAATAATAGTAGAGAGAATGATTTATTTCAGCTTTTATTTATTTCATCACATTCCCAGTGGGTCATAAGTTTACATACACTCAATTAGTATTTGGTAGCATTGGTTTAAATTGCTTGTACATGCTTTTTCAGTTCTGCTCACACATTTTTTATAGGATTGAGGTCCGGGCTTTGTGATGGCCACTCCAATACCTTGACTTTGTTGTCCTTAAGCCATTTTGCCACAACTTTGGAAGTATGCAAGCTTTAACTTCCTGACTGGTGTCTTGAGATGTTGCTTCAATATATCCACATAATTTTTCTTCCTCATGATGCCATCTATTTTGTGAAGTGCACCAGTCCCTCCTGCAGCAAAGCACCCCCACAGCATGATGCTGCCACCCCCGTGCTTCACGGTTGGGATGGTGTTCTTCGGCTTGCAAGCTACCCCCTTTTTCCTCCAAACATAACGATGGTCATTATGGCCAAACAGTTCTATGTTTGTTTCATCAGACCAGAGGACATTTCTCCAAAAAGTACTATCTTTGTCCCCATGTGCAGTTGCAAACCTTAGTCTGGGTTTTTTATGGCGGTTTTGGAGCAGTGGCTTCATCCTTGCTGAGCGGCCTTTCAGGTTATGTTGATACAGGACTCGTTTTACTGTGGATATAGATACTTTTGTACCTGTTTCCTCCAGCATCTTCACAAGGTCCTTTGCTGTTGTTCTGGGATTGATTTGCATTTTTCGCACCAAAGTACGTTAATCTCTAGGAGACAGAATGCGTCTCCTTCCTGAGCGGTATGACGGCTGCATGGTCCCATGGTGTTTATACTTGCGTACTATTGTTTGTACAGATGAACGTGGTACCTTCAGGAGTTTGGAAATAGCTCCCAAGGATGAACCAGACTTGGAGGTCTACAAGGTCTTGGCTGATTTCTTTTGATTTTCCCATGATGTCAAGAAAAGAGGCCCTGAGTTTGAAGGTAGGCCTTGAAATACATCCACAGGTACACCTCCAATTGACTCAAATGATGTCAATTAGCCTATCAGAAGCTTCTAAAGCCATGACATCATTTTCTGGAATTTTCCAAGCTGTTTAAAGGCACAGTCAACTTAGTGTATGTAAACTTCTGAGCCACTGTAATTGTGATACAGAAAATTATAAGTGAAATAAGCTCTGTAAACAATTGTTGGAAAAATTACTTGTGTCATGCACAAAGTAGATGTCTTAACCGACTTGCCAAAACTATATATATATATATTTTTGTAGTATTTTATTTGTGTGTATTTTTTTGTGTGTTAAAAAAAAAAATGGGGGGTAGATCAGCTTTAATATTGCAGATAGATTGTAACTTCCATCAATATAATTGTCTGCATCACTTCCAATCCCCCATATGTTTTTTTCTCGCAAATATATACACAGTGCTATGAAAAAGTATTTTCCCCCTTTCTAATTTTCTCTACTTTTGCATATTTGTGATACTGAATGTTATCAGATCTTCAACCAAAACCTAATATTAGATAAAGGGAACATAAGTGAACAAATAACACAACAATTACATATTTATTTCATTTATTTCATAAACAAAGTTATGCAACACCCAATTCCCCTGTGTGAAAAAGTAATTGTCCCCTTACACTCAATAACTGGTTGTGCCACCTTTAGCTGCAATGACTCCAATCAAATGCTTCCTGTAGTTGTTGATCAGTCTCTCATGTCGCTGTGGGGGAATTTTGGCCCACTCTTCCATGCAGCACTGCTTTAACTCAGTGACGTGTGGGGTTTCAAGCATAAACTGCTTGTTTCAAGTCCTGCCACAACATCTCAATTGTGATTAGGTCTAGACTTTGACTAGGCCATTCCAAAACTTCCAATTTGTTGCTTTTTAGCAATTTTCATGTAGACTTGATTGTGTGTTTTGGATCATTGTCTTGCTGCATGACCCAGCTGCGCTTCAGCTTCAGCTCACAGACGGATGGTCTGACATTCTCCTGTAGAATTCTCTGATACAGAGCAAAATTCATGGTTCCTTCTATTAAGGCAAGTCATCCACGTCCTGAGGCAGCAAAGCATCCCCAAACCATCACACCACCACCACCATGCTTGACCTTTGGTATGATGTTCTTACTGTGGAATGCAGTGTTTGGTTTTCGCCAGGCATAATGGGACCCATCTCGTCCAAAAAGTTGACTCAAGTTTGCCAAAAAGCACCTGGATGATCATCAATACTCTTGGAAGAACGTTCTATGGACAGATGATTCAAAAGTATAACTTTTTGGACAACATGGTTCCAGTAATGCCTGGCGAAAACCAAACTCTGCATTCCACAGTAAGAACATCATACCAAAGGTCAAGCATGGTGGTTGTGGTGTGATGGTTTGGGGACATTTCCATATGTTTTTGTTAGCTGCATGTGCGACATAACTCCACCAATCCTACCGATGATATCATTTACGAAGATTATACCTTTTTTAACTTAAAAAAAAAATGGTTTTTTATCAATTAGTATATTTGAGTTTAACCACAATATTTGTTGCATTATTTGTTCTGTCGTTTCTGGAGGATTAAATTGAAATTGCAACCAACCTTCTATGGCTTGTTTTAGAAATAGTGATATTTGGGAGATGATTTCCTTTTCAAATAACTGAAAGTGTGAAGTTGTAATCTGAATAAAGGGAAAAAGGCCATTCTTGAAAATTGGGTGAGACAATCTTACTAATTTGCTAGAGAACCAGTTCGGATTTAAGTTTAACTTTTGTATGACTGAAGTTTTTAGTGATAGGTCTAATGCTTTAATATTTAATCATTTCTGTCCTCCGAATTCATATTCATTACATATAATTTAAAAAACTGTTCGCTAGGCGTAGGCAAGACCAAAAGCAAATAGGTCAACTGGGATAATACTAAAGAGTTAATCAAGGTGATTTTTCCACAAATTGACAGGTATTTACCTTTCCATGGTAGCAAGATCTTATCTATTTTTGCTAACTTTCTATTAACATTTATTGAGTGAGATCATTTATTTCATTTGGGATATGTATTCCGAGTATATCCACATCACCATCAGACCATTTTATTGGTAAACTACATGGTAATGTAACATTTTTACATAATATAGTACATTTATCATAATTTGGTTGTAATCCAGAGAGGTTAGAAAATGTATCTAGATCCTGTATGAGGCTGTGGAGGGATTCAAGTTGTGGATTTGAAAGAAAACATGAATCATCAGCGTACAATGACACCTTTGTTTTTAAGCCCTGGATTTCTAATCCTTTGATATTATTGTTGGATCTGATTTTAATAGCTAACATCTCGTTGGCCATGATAAATAGATATGCCGATAGTGGACAACCTTGTTTCACTCCTCTTGACAGTTTAAAACTTTCTGAGAAATAGCCATTATTTACTATTTTACACCTAGGGTTACAATACATGATTTTTTATAAGAGATTCTCCAAAATTGAAATGCTCCAGACATTTATATATAAACCCCAGTCGTACTTTATCAAATGTCTTTTCGAAGTCTGCTATGAATAGCAGACCTGGTTTCCCAGATTTTTCATAGTGTTCTATTGTTTCCAGTACTTGCCTTATATTATCTCCAATGTATCTTCCATGTAAAAAACCTGTCTGATTAGAATGAATAATGTCCGACAATACCTTTTTAATTCTATGAGCTATACATTTTGCTAGAATTTTTGCATCACAACACTGAAGTGTAAGGGGCCTCCAATTTTTTGTATTTTCCAGTTGGATCCTGTTTCAGTAATAATGAGATCAGACCTTCTTCTTGAGTGTCTGATAATCTACAATTTACATAGGAGTGGTTAAAACATGCTAATAACGGTCCTCCGAGTATATCAAAAAAGGTTTTGTATACCTTGACTGGTATGCCATCCAAATCTGGAGTTTTCCCGGACTTAAAGTCTTTAATTGCATCCAGAATTTCATCCTCTGTAATTTCACCTTCACATGAGTCTTTCTGTATGGCTGTTAATTTTACATTATCAATAAAAAAAATCTCTACAATTAGCTTCAGTTAGAGGAGATGGAGGCGACTGAAACGAAAACATATGCTTAAAGTACTTTGTTTCCTCCTTCAAAATATCATTTGGTGAATCATGGGTGACATTTGTAACCAGTTTCAGTAAATTATTTTTGGTAGCATTCCTATGCTGAAGATTAAAAAAGAAAACTATAGTTTGTTAACAAGAAATTTGTGGAGTGGT